CCCCCCCCCCCCCCTTGGTAAGCGAGTTCCTGAGCTAGGGATTTTCCACAGCAGACGTTGAAAGGGTGCTTTAACGAAGCCTCAGACCCGAAAGCCGAAAGAAGCTCTGGACTCTAAACTCTAAAGCCTGCGCCGACATGCGCACAGCCCATAAAGCTTAGCCTATGAGCCCAAGATCTTAGGAGTTCTTAGTACAAGTAATTCCTCTGCTCATAGCCAAAAGCGGCCCAAAACTGAAGACCCTTTTCTTAATCCCAAACCCTTGAACTCAGGACCTCACCTACAACCACCTCATTGCCTGCTCGGCCACCTCAGCAAGGTCACCACCTGCCTCCGAGTTGCTAGGTTCAGCAATGGCTCCGTCACGTGTAGAAAGAGACCCGAGTCGAAAGGTTATCCAGCCTCCTCTAGTTACTGGTACCCGTCTTATTCCTTTGGCTTCACGTTCGGTGTAACCAGAGCATGCCGTACCCCAATCCCCCAGTCTATAGGCGGGGCGGGGGGGGGGGGGGGGGGGTAGGTGGCTTAAGGTTTGGGTTGCGGGTTAGGGGTTTAAGGGTTTTTGACTCTGAGCCAACTGGGTTTCGTTCGCTTTTTGTTGCGATGTCCAATTCGTTCCGCGGTCGTGACTGTGGCGCTGAGCGTGGATATCATGGGAATGATCGTGTATAAGCCAGTATAAGCATGCGTCCACAAGCCCTTGACCATCATCACAATGACAATAATGCTTTGAAACCTATACCCTAAACCCGAAACCCTAAACGGTTCATGACGTTCTACCATCAGGAATTGCACCACCCACTGCCCAGGCTGCTGTCGGCGATGCATCACAGGGCCTTGGAGTCTTGGCAGGTCCGACCTCAGGCTGCTGTAGCTTCAAGCCTTTGGGGCTGAGTAGCAGGGAGCAGGAAGTAGGTGGCAGGTGGTAGCTCGTCGTTAGCATATCGTAGCTGCCAGGCAGTAGTTTGTAGTTTATCGTTAGTAGTTCGTCGTTAGTAGTCAGTCGCCGGTAATTAGGATTTAGTCGTTGTTCGTTAGTTGGTTTATTACTAAGTTGAGTTTTAAGTTTAGTTGCTTAACAAGCTACTTAGCTAGTTTGCTGCACCACCGCCACCGCCAACGCCACCACCACCACCACCGCCACCACCACCGCCGTCGCCGACGACGACGACGACGACGACGACGACCACGACCCGCAACTACGACCACGACCACTTCTTGCTATCACTACTAGTGCTACTACTGCTGCTGCTACTACTACTACTACTACTACTACTACTCCTACTCCTGCTCCTACTCCTACTCCTACTTCTACTCCTACTCCTACTCCTACTCCTACTTCCACCCCTACTCCTACTCCTACACCTACTCCTGCTACTGCTGCTGCTACTGCTACTCTGCTACTACGGCTACTACTACTGCTGCTGTTACTACTACTGCTGCTAACTGCTACTAACTACCACTACTACTACTCCTACTACTACTACTACTACTACTACTACTACTACCACTATTACTATT